CCGCCCCCCCTGCCCTGCCCTGCATGGGGACTCACTGAAGAGGGGGTGCAGGCCCAGCCCCGCGAGGTCCAGCTCCTTGGCCCGCTTGATGGACTCCGGCGAGGGTGCTGGCCGCGAGCGCACGTACTGCTGCTGGGCGTTGTCAGCCACACGGCTTAGGCCCCGCAGCTCCAGCGACGCCTCCAGGGTGTTCCGCAGGCCGCAGTCCTCGTCGTCCACCACACTCTGTGGCACCCGGCCCAGAACGCCGTCCACACCGACCGCACCTGCCACCGCAAAGGGAGCCCGGTCATAGGCCTGCCGCCGGCCCACCTGCCCATGGCCCGGCCTCCCACACTGGCCCGAATCACAGAATCACCCCCGTGGTTGCCGACGTGCTACATGGTTAGGCCCATGACGGTTGCATCTGTACTAAATGCGTACAGAGTTTTGTCGTTATTCCTTAAACCCGTGGTCGGCAAACTGCGGCTCGCGCGCCACTCTTTGGCCCCTTGAGTGTGGCTCTTCTTAAGCCTTAGGAGTACCCTAATTAAGTTAATAACAATGTACCTACCTATCTAGTTTAAGTTTACAAAATTTGGCTCTCAGAAGAAATTTCAATCATACTGTTGATATTTGGCTCTGCTGACTAATGAGTTTGCCGACCACTGCCTTAAACCATACAGTGTAATGCCTATTTACATAGCATTCACATTCTATTACTATACGTAACTAGAAATGATTTAATGTTAGGGAGGATGTGTGTAGGTTACGTGCAAATATGTCATTTAATATAAGAAACTTAAGCATCGCGGATTTTTGTATCTGAGGGGGTCCTGAAACCAATCCACCGTGGATACCGAGGGTGACCGTACGGGGATATCCTGGGGTCAGATCCAGCCCCACCCCCTACCAGAGGGGACAGCTCTGTCCTTTGCCCACGTGAAGAACTCCACGGAGGACCTCAGCCCCGCCCTGGCCTCCACTCACCTGAAGGCTCCTCGTGGGGGCGGGCGAGGGTGAGGGAGCGGCCCAGGAACAGGTGCAGGTCCAGCAGGTAGGGGACCTCATCTGGGGCCACCAAGGAGTAGGCCGTGCCACTTCGACCAGCCCGGGCCACACGACCTGGAGGAGGTGGTCAAGCTTTAGCACAACTCCCACCTGCCCAACCCTGAGGGGGCATAGGTCCCCAGGAGGGAGCTCACAGGGCAGCGTTACTGAGAGGACTTCGGGGAGGAGGGAGCTGAGGGGCCACGTCACCAAGGAGCACGACAGAAAAGACAGGGGCGCCCAGGACAGAGTCCAGAGAGAGGAGAATCGCCCCATGAGGCACCCATGAGAATCGTGCCGGCCCACCCCCACCAGGTCCTCACTTGTAGGTCAGACCCCTGAGCCGGGTTCCCCACCGGAAGGGTGGGAGTCGCGCCCTGTGCCCTCAGCTCCCCCCGGGCTCAGCGCCCGCCGGCTCCTCACCCACGCGGTGCAAGAAGAGCTTGCCCTTGGCCGGGAAGCTGAAGTTGATGACGTTGTCCAGCAGCGGGATGTCCAGGCCCCGGGCCGCCAGGTCCGTCACGATGAGGGTGGAGCACTTGCCGTGGGTGAACTTGGCCAGGTTGATCTTGCGGGCTGTCTGGTCCAGGGCACTGTAGATGTGGGCGCAGCTCACCCGCTGGGTCGTCAGCAGCTGCTCGGAGCCAGGACAGGAGGGGAGAAGTGAGAGGGGTGAGGAGCTGGTAGGAAAGAGAAGAGTCTGGGCCACAGCGGGATGCCATGACCTGGTGTAAGCCTCATCCTGACTCCCACTAATGAGCTGCATGACCTCGGCAAGTGACCTAACCTCTTTGTGCCTTCATTTTCCTCGAATATAGAATGGGGAGAATTGTCCTGCTCTGTAGCTTTGTTAGGATTCAATGCGTTAACATAGTGCTGAGAACTCGGCCCGGAACACAGGAAGCACCGTGAGTGTTAACTGCTCTTTGAGAATTACTATTTCAGTCTCATTCATCAGAGACCCCAGCAGCTGCACGCAAGGAGGAAGCTCCGTTAAATGTATGACAAGTTAATGAAACCCAGTGAAGTGTGTCCTCAGAAAACAGACCCCAGGTGTGGCTGACCCAGGGAGGGGCCCCAGCAGCCTTTGGGGCACAGGATCCCCATGCTCTCATATGGAAAAACTCATCCAGTTGCTCACGTAGAATTGGGCACTGTACATAGCTCACTGCATGCAGTCCACACCTCATTTTTAAAAAACGAAACATATGGGGAAATGTATACAAAAGTGATAGCACGGCTGGGAGAATACTTCAGCATAACCTGGGTGGAGGGGGTAGCAACGGATGAGTCAGGACTGGCCATGAGTTGATAACTGAGTACCTGGGAGTTCATTAAAGTCATAAGCCCCGGCCAGGCCCGTGTCCCGCTCCGGTGCTGCCCTCCGGTGTCTGCACATGGAACTGCAGCCCGAGCTAATGAGGGTGCAGGTGCCAGGAGCTGTCTTCCTCACCAGCCAGGCCCGCTCACCTCACTGAGGTATTCCGCGTGGTGCTTTGTGGCCACAAACACCACGGTCTGGTCCTGGGGCCGCACTACGTCGCGCAGCAGGTGGAGGAGCACGGCGGCCTTGGTGTCCTCCCGCACCAGGAAGAAGGAGGTCTGCAAGGAGAGGGCCGTGAGGGGGTGGCTCAGGGCCCTGCACAGAGGCCTGGCCAGGGGCACGGGCAGACCTCACCTTGAGCTGCTCGTTGAGTTTGGCGTCCACATCCAGCCGAATGAGCACGGGCTCCGTGAGGCCTGCGGTGGGCAGAGGGGAGTGGGGGGCTGAGTCACGGCAGGACAAGGCCCGGGGCCCAGGCGCCCCCCGAGCTCACTCACCGGCCCGGGCGAACTCCACCAGCATCTTGGGCAGCGTGGCCGAGAACAGGAGTGTCTGGTGGCCCCCCGGGAGGCGGCTGATGATCTCCTGCAGCTGCTCTGCAAACCCCATTTCAAAGAGCCTGGGAGGGCGGAGGGCGGAGGGCAGGGGGCAGGATGGGTCAGGAGAGGGGCTTCCTCCAGTGAGTTCCCACCTTCAACCACCCTCGCCCCCACCATACTTCTTCCATGTGGTCGGTGTTTGCCTCGATTTTTCTCTCTGACAACTTCATCCTAAGCAATAATGACCCTGAAATCTTGGGTCTGATCTGTTCTGTTTTCTACAAATTCGCATTGAAATAAATGACAGCAGCCCTCGCTCTGGGTCAGGCACCGTTTGGAGTACTTTACAAATATCGGCTCCCGAGTCCTCACGGCATTCTGGGAGGCACATGCTAGTTTATCCCCACTCTGCAGGCGAGCCCCCCCCCCACCGAGGCCCCCAAGACCCTCAGTGATTTGTCCAAGTTCAGGGAGCTGGGATTTGATCCCACCTGTGTTCTCAACTTTGTGCTACTTTTTCTAACGGTGATCCCGGTACACAGGTCTCTCCTGGCAGAGCCCTTCCTCCCAGAAACCTCACCTCCCTCCGATTTCCCAGCCGCGGCCGACCTGGACCCTGCGAGGGGTGTACCTGCAGCCTTACCTGTCAGCCTCGTCAAATACCACGTACTCCACACTCTGCAGCTTCAGGTTCATCTCCACAGCCACATGCATCAGGCGGCCAGGGGTGGCAATGATTCTGGAAGGGGGGTGCAGGCCAGGTCACCCAGGGCCACCAGCAGAGCCCTCCTCTCACTCCTCAGACGCTGGCCATCTGGGAAGGGACCCCAGAGCATGACCCCCAATGCAAACTCACATGTCAGGGTTTTCATGCAGGGCTGAAAACTGGTCTTCCATTCTAGGGAGAAGGGCAGGAGTCAGCTCGATAGAACAGGCCTCTGTCTAGTCCCTGTCCCTTCCCACACCAAATACCCGGTGAGCCCACTCCCTGACCCCAGACTTGCCACTGGGGAAAGGCTACTGCTAACATCTTAGGCCAGTGGTTCTCCACCTTCCTAATGCCGCAACCCATTAATACAGTTCCTGATGTTGTGGTGACCCCAACCATGAAATTATTTTCGTTGCTACTTCATAACTGTAATTTTGCTACTGTTATGAATCGTCATGTAAATATCTGATATGCAGGATGTATTTTCATTGTTACAAATTGAACATAATTAAAGCATAGTGATTAATCACAAAAACAATATGTAATTATATATGTGTTTTCTGATGGTCTTAGGCGACCCCTGTGAAAGGGTCGTTCGACCCCCAAAGGGGTCGCGACCCACAGGTTGAGAACCGCTGTCCTAGGCAAAGGCCCTGCCGTGACAAGAGATGCAGGTTCAAACACACAAAAGGACTCACACAACAAAGAGTTCCCCAAAGAGTGGGCTCAGCCTCACAACCCACCTCACTCTCTATCTCCAGAGGCAACAAAGTTGCCTTTCACCCACAGCCTCCTAGCAACTACCCCTGGAACTGCCAGCTGCACCTCGAATCCAGTTTCTGGAATCTCTCTGTCCTTATTCTTAAACCTTTTGAGCACACACATCCCTAACTTAGTCGTCCCCTGGGACACCTGTAGGAGCCAGAATTCCGGGCCAGGCCTAGCCTGGGAGGCACTGCTCACAGTAACTAACTAGAGATAATACATTATAATGTAGGCAAAGAGCCCTGGACAGCAAAACACGCAGAACTAAGTGACTGGTGACAGTGACACTGAGAACAAGGAGGGGGCTGCCCTGGGAGGGAGGCCTGTGGAAGGGGGAGGGGGCACAGCAGGGGACCCGAGTTCTCATCTGAGCGGTACTACCAAACCACTGCGCGGCTCTGGGCCCACCACCGCCTCAGCGTGCTCACCTGTAAACAGGTGTGATGCCTGCCACTTCAGAAGGATGGTACCAGCACATCAGGAAAAATACATTTTGCAAATCTGAGCTATTACAAACATGCTTTGATTTTTGCACATTCTGCTTTAAACAACCCACAAGTACGCACATTAAAACATACATCTGAGCTACCGGGTGGGCGACCCGGATGCCACGAGCTGTCTTTCAGAAGCACCAGAACCTTCGCAGTGCTCGTGTGGGAAATTCTTCTCGTATGTTACTGCATGTCTCCCTAATTCTTCACAAGCATCATTCTTCTTTTTTAGAATGTGCCAAGAACTTGATATTGTTAATAAGCCACACAGGCTCCTACACTCTGATACCCTGGAGGCACGGGGTGCGCTTGCACAGGGATGGGAGTGTGGGTGACCGGGGCCAGGGGCAAGAGGGTTCTTACTTGTCCCCACCCAGGATCAGGGCAGTCTTGAGGCCGGTGAACTTGCCCAGCTGTGGGGAGAGACAGAGAAAGATTGAGAGAGGGTAAGGGGGAGGTGACTCAGCCTGCCTCTCCCTGCCCTCCCCACCATCCCCCTCTCCTGTCCCCCCTCCCCCCTCTGCAACCCCAACACACCTCCTTGGTGAACTTCATGGTCTGCAGGGCCAGCTCCCGGGTGGGCGAGAGAATGAGGGCACGGGCCCCCGACTGAGCACTGCGGGCCTTCAGCCGCTCGAACATGGGGATAAGAAAGCAGGCTGTCTTGCCACTGCCCGTCCGGGCCATGGCCACCATGTCTTTGCCATCCAGGATCACGGGGATGGTCTGGAGACGAATGGGGAGGGGGCAGGGCGGTCAGCTCCTGCATCAGAGCTTCGAGTTCCCAGTGGAACTAGGGGACCTCAGTGAGGGGGAAGGGGCCTGTCGCCCAGTCCTGATCCCATTTTTGCCAACGCTCGTTTGCACACCTCCAGGGACGAGCAGCTCACCACCCCCAACTCTTTCCATGGTTTGAACATCCTTCTTCAGATGAAGCCAGACTCTACCCTCCCTGACCACTGCTCCTCACTGCGCAGCCTCAGCAGGGAACGGCCTTAAATGGCAAAGAGGCACGGGGCCGCGTCTCCTCTCTGCTGGGCCCAACCTCCCCGACCTGTGGAACAGGCAAGCTTGTGGGGCTTCAGAATAAGAGGGACAACAGATGTGACAGCTGGGACAAGGGGTGTCTATCAAGAGGCTGAGAGAAGGCCAAGTTCCTCATCCCCTCCTCCCAAACCCCCAGCCCTGCCCAGCGCGTACCTTCCTCTGGATGGGCGTTGGCACCTTATAGCCTTTCTTCATGATGCCTTTGAACACCGGGTAGCTCAAGCCTGGGAAAGACACGGGAACGACCAGGGTGGAGGGAGCCCCCACGCACACGACTATCGCATCTTTCCCCTGCTGCTCTGAAATGCTATTGTCAGGCACTAAATCCCCAAATGTCTTTGCCTGTTCCTGCACCGCATCGCCCCGAGTCCTGCTCTAACTGTTCTCTCATTGTGTCAGGCCCGCTGCCCCCATGAGGCCCTGACTGGCTCTGAGACAGTGTCTGCTGCCTCAGTTTGCCCAATACCTACCAGTGCTGGGCCCAGAGCAGAGCTCAGAGGGTGTGGTAACCCCCGGCTGCTACCCGCCCCCCCACCAATTTCTCCAGATGCCTGGAGCACCCACCCATGGACTGGAAGCCTCCCGACTTCTTCTTCTTCTTGTTCTGGGCTCGCACCATCTCCCGCGTGTCCGGCTCCACGTCCGAGGTGCATTCCGAGGTGGGGAAGGTGGGCAGGGGTCGGCCAGGTCCCAGCTGGAGGGAGGAGCAGAGAGGCAGCATCACTCCAGGTACCATCAGACCACTGGGCAGGGAGGGGGGCTGTCCTGCAGCTGGTCTGCACCCCTTTCTAGTCAATGACTCCCCTGCCAGATCACGAGATGTCCCTGCTACAGGGCTCCCCTTTGACGGGGCCAGGACAGGGCAGAGGGGCAGAGAGCAGGCTCTGCAGACACACAGCCTGGTTTCAGTCCCAACTCTGTCACTTGCCAGCTGGGGGACCCCACACAAGGGACTTAATCTTCCCGGAGCCTGTGTTCCCACATCTGGGAAACGGTGACGAGAGCATATGCCTCACGGATGCCCATCCAAGACCCCTTAGTCCCAGCACAGCTAACCCAGGTGCCTCCTCCGGGGAGCCCTCTCAGACTACAGGACTGTCCCCTCCCTCTCGAAATAACAGGTATGGACCGTGAATTCACTGTAATGATTGGAGCTCACACGCTCTTACTCGAAGCCAGGTGCTGCTGCATTCACATAGGTTAACACACTTAACCCTACAACAACCCTGGGAAGTGGGTACTATTACCTTGTCATCTTACAGAAGGAAACTGAGGCACAGAGGGGTGACGTGACCCTCCCAAGATCACACAGACAGCAAGTGGGGGGATCGGAGTGTGTTCCTCCCACTGTGGCCCTCTATGGTCCCTGCACCATCTAGGCAGGGCTGCAGCCTGTCTAGTATAGCCTGTGTGCTAAGAGTGGTCACAAACATTTTAAAAGACTGTCAAAAAACCCAACAAAAAAGACGGTGACCTTATAGGGCCCCACAAAGCCTAAAATATTTACCACGTGGTCCCTGGAGGAAAAGTTTGCCAATCCCTGTTCTAGGCACATAACAACCAAGTCTTGGAACACACCAGGGCCCAGCATTCTACTGCACGACAGAGCATATAAACATGTCATTCCATCCTTTCCAGGTCTGTGAGGCACATGTAATCATCAGCCTCTGCACAAGTGGAAACCTCTGTCTTCTGCAGATGTGGCTCAGAGAGGTTAAGCAACTTCTTCACTATCCCACAGCCTGTACAGGGCTGAGCCAGGGCAGCCCTAGTCTGAACCACATACATGGGCTCCTCTTTGGCATGTAGTACTCTGACCTCCTGTTCATTATCTTTAGCAGTTTCTCCGCATTTACAGAGCACCTACTGTGTGCCAGGCTTTAGCTAGGCTGGGGAAACTGGGATAAAGTCTGGTGCCTGCCTTGGAGAAGGGTAGGCCTCTCTCCACATAAACACTCACTCATCTACTTACCCAAAGCTATTCTGTGCCAGGCACCGGCTGGGCACGGGGCTGTGGAAAATAAGGGGCTCCTGCCCTCCCTTCCCATTTGCATACAGCTGGCATTCAGTAGTAGAAACAGCACAGGCTCTGAAACCAGACAGTCGCGGGTTTGAATCCCGGCTCTCCCGCTCACAAACTGTGTGGTTTTGGTCAAGTTTTTTTTTTACCAATCTAGGCCTCAGTTTCCTCCTCTGGCAAATGGGATGATAACACATAGCTCACAGGGTGGTGTGATGATTAAATGATAAGGCTGGTAAAGCTCTTAGTACGGAGCCTGGCACATAGTAGGCGGCCAACAAACCCAGGTTTAATTTATTACTATTAATTCCCCAGAGGTTTGGGGGCATCACTGTCCCAATCTACGGGCCTCGGCCTCCCCTTAATTCAACCTCTCAAAAGAACCCCCACTTTCCAAGTCAGAGCTCCAGCACCTGCACTTTTCATTGGACGAAAGGGAACTAGGGCCCGCCCCCTGAATCGGAAGTAGCCAATGAGCAGCGGGCAACCAAAGACCCGACCAGGAAGGCCCGCAGGCCCTAGCCTTCGGAACGCGGTGGCTCCGGCCGCCAGGACCCGGGTCAGACCGGCGGTCCTGCCCCCGATCCCCTGCCAGCCGGCCTCTCCCCACCCTGGGAAGTGCCCACTCCTC